GGGCATCAGAGACGCCGATGCCTTCGCAGTGGTTGGAGACGTAGGCTCTTCGCAAGATGTTGCCCGCCCGACGATGGCACGAGATGCTATCCACCAATGCTTCCTCGACGAGGCATTGGGGGCGACTTCAGAGGTGGTTCTGGCCTTGCTGCTAAGACTACGGCCGCAAAGAGAGATGAGCGTGCATTGTTGACAGGATTGCAGCAACTCCTTCAGCAATTTCAAAGTACGCCTGCTTCTCAGAATCCAGCCGCCAAGGGCAAGGGCACGGGCGCTAAGCCCGCTAAGCCCACACCGCGTGTGCAGCAAGACACTGCTAGCGAAGAGGAATATGGTCTTCTCGAAGCCTTGCATTCCTTGGTCACCCGGGCATCGCGAAACCCAAAAGGGCTTTTGCAGAGGATCCAGGTCGTGGTTGATATGGCGTCTCAGGGACGCCTTCGGCCGAAGAAGAAGAAGAAGGCGAAGCCAAGCAATGGTGATGCGGCTCCCGCAACACTTAGTCGACATGTTCGGCCTTCTGTGGGCGACAGCTGGGTTCAAGTTGTCAAACGTGGCGGCAAAGGAAAAAGCAAGGGCAAAGGCAAGACGACGGATGCAAACAAACATCCTAGTGCTGCACCGGTCAATGTTCGTCCCGGGGCGAAGCAACGTGACAGCCAAGGCCAGACGTCTGCTCGTCTTATGCCTTCCAGCTTCCCAGATGGCGCTTTGATTCCGCGTGAGTTTCTTCTTCAAGAGCTTCGGAAAGGCAAGGCTCCGGAGAACAAGTGGGCATGGGTCGCTTCGAAGCAAGAGGCAAGCGAGATGAAAGAGCTGGCGGCGATCCACAAGTTGAGCATTAAGGTCGGCCTCCTGTACCAGACGACAGACGACAGTGACTCTGCGACTACGGTGAAGCTCCCTGCGTTGCGGGCAGGCCAGATCACCATCGAAGAGTTCAAGATCGCGCCGCTAACTGTGGATGTTCCTGGCAAGCTTGGGCAAACGGTTCGCAAGTCAAGCGCGCAGCCGGTTCAGAGGAAGTTGGCTACCTTTCGATGCACAACCCCAAGGGAATTTGCAAAGGAAGGCGCCTGGAAGGATGCTTCGAGCAACATACAGAAGGTCATTCGACAGTTCTGTTCGGATGATGCTTTCCATTCGTCATACCAGTGGCAACGCCGTGAGTGTTGGTCCAAGGCGGGGCACTGCGATGAGTATCTGGAAGGCTACGTACGCGTCGTCGACGAGCACGCGGACAAGTTTGCAAGGATGAGCGGACGCAGTGGATGCTTTTTCGAGAGACTGAGTCGCGAGCAAAAGAAGCCTTTGGTGCAGTGGGTACCAAGACAGGAGAACGAGTCCAGTTCCACCTACTTCAGCAGGGTGGAGCGCGCAGCCAAGGAGGCTGAACAGCCG